TCCTAATGAGCAGATACCCATTGTCTTCATAGAACTGTCTTTGCTCTGTGGTGAGAACATCATTGTCCAGGGCATAGCTGAGACACAGAGGAGAAATGCATTAGTAGGACTGGGCAGAGTGACGGGAGCACCGATGGTGAGATCCATCGGGAGGACAGTGCCATGGGTGGAATCAGCTGGTGAGGACTGTGCCAGGGAGGGAATCAGCTGGGGAGGACAGTGCCATGGGTGGAATCAGCTTGTGAGGACACTGCCATGGGGGGAATCAGCTGGGGAGGACTGTGCCAGGGGGGGAATCAGCTGGGAAGGGCAGGGTGGCTCCAGCCAGCATCTGGGGAAGAATCGGTGAGAAACTCTCCCCACAGCAGACATCAAGGGCACTTGGAAGAAAATAATTAAAAGTAAGTAGCAATTCAAATTCAATGTTTGATTTTTAATTTTCGTATGAATTAAGATACAATTTACTGAAACATCCTTGACTGAGCTGAGCACGAGCTGCTGCTGGAGCAGGAGCAGTTATCTGGGATACAAATTAAGGAATATACACTCGGGCACAATAGGGTATGAAAACATTACTGCAGAGCAATTAAACCCCTCCCAACACTTGACAAAGAAAGCACGAAGAAAGGAGACCTCCAGTCCATTTTAATGAGTTTAAACAAACACTGTGAAGGAACGGGAAGGTGTGGGAACAGGAGAGCTTGTTGCTAGAGGCTGGGAAGTAGGTGGAGAAAGTTCAAGCATGCTTCTACATGCTCCCTTTCCCGTACTCTGCTCATTCACAGCTGCCAGCAGCTGCCATGATGGCTGCAGGGACATGGTCAACAGGGCTGCAGAACCCAGCACTGGCATGCTTGGCCACGCACCACGGCTGTGCTGACGTGGGTGGTTCGCTAAGTCAACCAGCGTGACAGCTCCTGTCCTCTAACAGTGCCCTGCTGGGAAAGAAACAGCCTGGAGGGGAAATCCTGGAGTAGGGAGAGAAGGAAAAGTGAAGCTAGCTTAAAAATGGGGAGCTGCCAAGAGAGGTTGCAAAGGCCTTCTATTCCTCTCAAGTTGGGACATGCTTAAAAACTATATATTTGATGTACATTGTCCTTAGCAGTGCACTTACTGCTCTCATCTGCCTACATTAACTCTGTGAGTGATATTTGAGAGGAGATAAATACTGAGATTGATTGTGGATCTAACAGACCTGCAGTGCAGTTCAGAAGATGATTTTTGACATTTTTACACATATCCTGTGTTGCCACCACGCCGTAGAGCCTCACCATTCCTGCAGAGTGGACTTCAGCCCCACCATGGCACAGTTCAGACCAGCTTGTGCCATCAGTGTGACAGTCAGTTCATCCTCACTTTCCCCTCGAGCTCTACACTGTGAAGCAGACGCTGCTAAAAGGTGGGGTTTGTCCTGCTGGAATTTGCTGTCCCCTCATCTTTCCCCTCTCCCTGGGCCAACTTCCCAGCCTGCAGCTCAAGGCACTTGCTGCAGGAGGGAAGTTGGAGGTAAGGCTCTTGCTGCAAGGACCAGGAGCAGACTGAATGCAGCATATCCTCATTAAGAACTGGGGTCAGCTTTCCTTCAATCTCTTCTGACTCCAAAAAAGGTGGAGGTCACAGGCTGAACCAGGTCCTTCTCTTGTCAGGACTCTTCCTTTTTTTCTCACGAGCTTTTCAGAGGTTAGCAAAAAAAAAACCAAAAACCCCTTTCTGATGGAAATAGCTTGATACTTTGGGATTGCAAAAAATCAATGAGGGATGGGCAGTGTTTTCGGGAACAGCACTCAGATTCTTGCACTTGTTCTTCATGGAGCTGTGGCACGCTGGGCGGGTTTCCTCCTGGAAAAAAATTAAGCTTCGGGCAGCAGGTGACTTGATTAATTATTGCTTTTCCTTTCCTCCTCCCTTCCTGCTGCTGTGGTGGTAGTTCAAAGAAGAGGGAGTTTGGACCTGAAGGCTGACAAGATTTTGCAGCTCCCCTGTGGCCGCAGCTCCCTCTGCAGACACCCTCCTGACATGCCCAAATCAGCTGCGCTCTTCTGCCAGGAAACCAAACCCTAAGAGATACATGGTGGTTGTGATTTTGGTTTTCACCAGAAAGCCAAGTGCTGGAGACTGAGATGAATTTCTAGCTGTGAATTTCCACTGGTGGGACATGTGCTTTGGAAACCCGTGACTGCAGAATCTCTGCTGGATGGGATCGATGGGGACAGGAACAAAAAAGTACTTACCAGGTAGATTCCTCACTCAGGGGGTCACATTTACATGCATTGATGAAGTTCCCTTTGGACTCCAGTCCTTGCTGAAACATCTTGTGAGGAAATGCTTGTAGACCCTTACTTGCCCAGGGACATGATTGTGAACCCATGAGCATGTAGATTTGCTGAGAAGGAGCCAAGAAGCCCTGCTGGGTCTGGCTCTGCTCAGGGTCATTCCAGCAGCAGGGATCAGACTCCTTGGCATTGCTAGGATGAAGCTGGGCTGGCCTTGCAGTCAAGGGGAGCTTGCCTAAGCTTAGTCCTCCCCAGGGTCTAGAGTATCCTCGACCTGTTGTTGTAAGGAGTGAGGACACGGGTCTCTCATCAGGTGGGACAATTGCTGAGCCTAGATGATCTGTGAGGTCTTTGATGGGTTTGTTCTTTTGAAAGAGAAAATTTAAGCTAAACCCGTAGGCAGAGATGTGCAAATTCTAAAAACAAAGCCAAAGTTCTTCCTTTCCTGCTCTCTCCCAGCCATAGCAAGATTGCTGATCTCCTCTCTCAACCGAGTGACCTCCCGAGCTGCAGGATAACAGAGCAGAAGGAGCAGTGAGAGCCCATCAGCACAGCCTTTGGTGCTGTTTCGGCACCTTCTTCGAGTGGAAGGGGGGAGTGGAAAAGAGCTGTGGATTGATGTTTTGCACTGGGGTATTCAACGGCGCACCCACTGCCAGGATTTGTGAGCGTTGGAAATAACACAGTGGCGCACCCACGGCCAGGATTTGTGAGCGTTGGAAATAACACAGCACAGCCCTTGAATGTAGTTTTGCTCTGATTTAATCTATCTTTCAAAAAATAGGTTCTGAGAAATTCCGTCTGGAAACAGAATCTGCTGGACACCTGTAGCTTTTCTCCGTGATCACAGCACCCTCTGCAGTCAGCTCAGCTGCAGCAGTAACACCAGACGGTGAAGTCTCCCCAGGAATCCTGTGTTGTGAACCAGACGGGATACTCTTAAGTCCTCACAAAAATCCCAAGGAGAGCATCAGCTAGGTTGTGAGCCGGAGCTCAGCAAAGTCAACAGAGAAGCCTCCAACTCACTGGAAATCATTGACTCAGGCCCATGCAGCAAGCAAAGACCAGGGTGAGAAGGTCCAAGTCTGGAGAGGCATCTATAACACATCTTCCCAAGAGAGAGATCAGTGCCAAGGTTATATAGAGGGCAAGGGAAGAGGTGCAGGAACCAGGATACTCAAAATCACCCACTGAGCAAGGCTGAGGGCCTGTCCTAAAATCTCCTCCTCGTCAGACTTCTTGGTGTTGTGGTCAAACCAGAGGCTACCACGAGGCAGGAACCACAGCCCAGACACCTCACCCACCACCGAGGGTTTAGGACCAATGCAATAACTGTGCTCAAACCTCACCTTGTTTAAAAAGCATACAAACAAACAGAAAACCTATAGATGCTGCAGGAAGATGAAGTGCAAAACCCCCCTCCACGTTACGTTGTCATGTGTCAAGTGGCTGCAACAGCTTTGACTTGCAGCAACTTGTCCAGGCAGACCCCGGGGAAGAAGTGTTTGAGCCTTGTGGGTTGAGGGCAGGGCTGCACTTCATCTCCTCTCTCAACCAAGTGACCTCCCGAGCTGCAGGATAACAGAGCAGAAGGAGCCGTGAGAGCCCATCAGCACAGCCTTTGGTGCTGTTTCGGCACCTTCTTCGAGTGGAAGGGGGGAGTGGAAAAGCGCTGCGGATTGATGTTTTGCACTGGGGTATTCAACGGCGCACCCACGGCCAGGATTTGTGAGCGTCGGAAATAACACAGCACAGCCCTCGAACGCAGTTTTGCTCTGACTTAATCTATCTTTCAAAAAATAGGTTCTGAAAGCAAAAGAACCTTTCAGAAACCAAGGAAAAACATTGAGGAAGGCGAGAGGACCATTTCAGTGCACATTGCTCCATCCTGCCACTAGTGCATCCTGAGGAGCATCTAACTGCCTCTTGGACCTGGCAGCACCAAAAGGCCCCTTTTCCCAGACCCACCAGACTCAAAGGAGGACTCCCTCCTTCCACACAGCCTCGGGTCGGTTGCACAAGCCCAACAGGAGGCTGGTTTGCTGTCCCAGTAGCTCCCAACCCTGTCAGCCACATATTTCACTTGCGCCAGCACTGCTCCGTAACACATGACACCACACCAGGTCATGTTTGAGGAACTCTACTAGTGATCATGTTCCAGCCCATTGATCCCATTTTTCTATGTGTTGCAGCTTCTGCTTTATCCAGTTCCTTACACTGTTGATTCTGCTGGTACTAATATCTCCATCTTCGTTGGCTGTGCTAATGACTTCCCATGTGAGCTCATACTGAGGGCTTGCATGAAACTCATTCATTTTTGAGTAGAAAAGGAAGTTGGAAACGTTAAAAAACATACCCTTGCATAAGATCTTACATAAAATCTTATGTTAGTAGAGCATCATTCCAAAGGTAAGTCAAGTAAGAAACTTTTAAAAAATAAGAATTAAAACATCAAGAAAATCAAGGTGATCTTTCAAGACCTTAATTCTTTGATTGTCTAAGATAACCGCAGCAAATCTCTGTCTTTCTAGGTCAGGTTTTCTTTGATGTACATCAGCTGTTCAACCTCAGTGCAATTATTCTGTATTAGCATGAAAAGATTTTGTGATGCAGCATTTGGCTCAGTTACCAATACAGTGGTCAGTAAAGCACACAGGATTCTGCCTGCTGGGGCAGGGAAGCTCATTCTCAGGCACTTGTTTTCCATCCTGCTCTTCAGAGGTTGTTCTACAGGTTAATTCTTTCCCCTTGCACAAGCCGTGCTCGGAAGTTCCAAAGATCCTTCAAAAACAAAAATGAGACAAAGGAAAAGCCTTAAGGGCCAGCAAAAATGGCAACCAGGATTCCAGTTTACAGACGTGGATATAGATAGAACATTTTCAGCTTAGCTACCTACCCATAAAAACATATCAAAGCAACTCAGTTTACAGAGGTGGATATAGATAGAACATTTTCAGCTTGGCTACCTACCCATAAAAACATATCAAAGCAACTTACTGAACATCACGTCAAATCCTACATACCAAGAACAAAAATACAGCACAAACTAAGGAAGAGGTGTGACCTCCACCCCCAGGAGACAGGTTGTTGGCAGGTATCACAGATGGAAAGATGCCCATGCTTCAATTCTGGAAGGCAGCAGAAGAGGAAACATGAGCAGCACAGAGAATATTACCCTTGCAGAAGTCACCCTTGCCTGCTCGTGCACACAATGCCTCCCTTGTACGCCTTTGAGGGATCAAGTGAGCTCACCAACTGACTACACCTTGCATGCTGCTCTCTGCGAGCGAGTGATATTCCTTGTGCAGCAGAAACCAGCAGGAAAAAACAGATGTGAATGCAAGCCCTTAGCCAGAAATCAGGTGCTGGGCAGGCATTGCTGCAGACTGTAAAGCGGAGAAGACCACTGCTGTTTGCTTCATGGAGGTAAGTCTTGGGCAAGCTCCTACCTCGGTTTCCCTGTGTGAGGATTACTTAGTTCATATCACTAGTCTTGTGAAGGTGAAACATAAGAGCTGGGCACTCCTTTGGGAGAAAGCTCCGACTCTGGTTAAAAAAAGCTTAAAGCTACACGAAAACACACAGAATCATCTGAGGCTTGTATGGGCACACACTCAAAACAAGAGCAACGAAGCTGGTGAAGGGTCTGGAGCACAAATCTTATGAGGAGCAGCTGAGGGAACTGGGGCTGATTTGCCTGGAGAAAAGAAGGGCCAAGGGACACCTTATCGCTTTCTACAACTACCTGAAAGAAAGGAGGTTGTAGCAAGGTGGATGCGGGTCTCTTTTTCCAAGTAACAAGTGACAGGACAAGAGGAAACACCCTCAAGTCGTGCCAGTGAAGGTTTAGATTGGATATTAGGAAAAATTTCTTCACCGAAAGGGATGTCAAGCATTGGAACAGGCTGCCCAGGGAAGTGGTTGAGTCACCATCCCTGGAGGCGTTTAAAAGACGTGTAGATGTGCTGCTTAGGAACATGGTTTAGTAGACTTGGCAGTGCTACGTTAACGGTTGGACTCAATGATCTTCCAGCCTAAACGATTCTATGATTCATTTCCAATCACAAGAGGTAGAGGCTCACTACGCATCGCTGTGGATTTCACTGTGTACCTAAATACCTCCAGGAATCAAAAGTCAAGCAAGCTGTAACTTTACAGACAACATGTAAGATCAGGCTTGCAAAACACAGCTGGGATCTCCCACTACACCCAGGAACACTGTGGGAAAAACCAAACCAAACCAAGAACCTCAAAGGTGAAAAAGAAAGTCCTCTCCTCCAGAATGATGATCTCCTCGATGATCTTGAAGGTCTCTTCCAACCAGACGATTCTATGATTCTATGATATTGGCTGTGCACGTGTTTGAGAACTGCTATGGATTAAGAAATTCAGAATATTTCCACCCCAGTAACAAAATTTATTTTTTTTTCAGAGGCTGGATCCCTGAAGAATTTAGTTTTCCTTTCTATTTTACACAATGGTTTCAGTTATTCAGCAAAAGTCCATTACCCTCATTTTTCTGGGGGGGGAGGCAGATGTATATCTCTGCTGGCATACCTGCTGTAGCCTCAAGTCTAAACAATTGATGTGGGATTATATTTAACCAGAAAAATTCAGTCTACTGTTGCAGTCAGATGTGACTTCTTGTTTTAAAAGGAAAATCCACCTGCCATTAGGAGGGGAAACGGTAAGAACTGTGGACAATACAAACTGCCAACAAGCACTGCATTTATTGCACCTTCTTATAACTTCTGAATTCAGGGCAAGAGATGACCACATCTTCCTATTTACATCGTGCAGTTCAAATAGAACTGCAAAGAGCTCTGGTTCAGACACACTCCCCACAACAAATAGGGAACCAGGAGGTGCAGCGAAGGGCAAAGCTTTCATAGACTTCATCTTATCCCTGCCTTGCCACGTTAGCCCTCCTGACTGCTCCCCAGTGGGGAGAAGTCCAGACCTCCTTGAATGGTGCAAGAAGCGCGTGTGAGCAGCCCCACAGCTGAGCCATCACGACAGCAGAGTCCACAGCTCCTCCTCACAGTACATCATCAGTCGCAGCCACATAACAAAGTGCTGATCTAATCTGCACCAGCTCAGCCGGCACTGGAAGGGATGAAGGCGTGCTCACAAAACCCATTTTGACAAATGGAGCTGGAGGAGGAACTTCTAGAGCTCCAGGGATGTGAAGGGGCTGCCCAGAGAGCAAGGAGCAAAAAAAGAGAGCCTTAGGAGCAAAAAGGTCCAAAAAAAGCCTGCCGGTCATCCTCTGAACATCAGGTCTCTTATTCTGCCAAGCACCTCTGCTTGGCACAGCTTGATCTGCCGAACTGGGCACAGCAAAAAGCACAAATCTGTCACATGAGAGTGACTTAGGAACAGGAATGGACATGGTTCGTAACAAAGGACATATAGCCAAGTCTTACCCTGAGTTCCACGGATGTCGTGTCGTATTTCTTGCGAACCATTTCTACTATTTCTTTCTCCAGGCTCTCTTGGATCGTGTTCTTGACGTCAATGTAGTAGCACTCGGAGCTGGCAAAGTGACAGCTTATACTCTGCATGAGGAGATAGGACATCACTCACTACCACATCGATTACAAATGACTGGTGGAAAAAAATCTTGTGCATCCCAGATCGTGGACACCCCTCCCCTTCCCTACAGGTCATGTCAGCAAATTCCTTCCTCCTTTCTGAGCACTCCGGCTCTCCTGAGTGCATCCCCTTGGAAAAATACTCTTGCTGGAGAAATATTCTTGCTTGCTGATGTGCTCTTCTTCCTTCCCTTCTCTCCCAAACACTTCCCCAGCATGAACTGTACTACTTGATCTCAGAATATTGGCAACTAGAGTGGGAATAGGGAAAGTCAGGGTTGGAGCAGACCTCTGTGTTCAGTAAGGATTCTTACTTTCCATACCCAGTCACATCAACCCATTTATTTTGTAATTAGTTCTTGCTTAAGCAGGGTCTAGAGGAAATAAATAGAAACACCCCACTGGAAAAAGCTGTTCTGTCATTACATGAGCTCTGCCAGCTGCAAGCGACAACATGCCAGATCTCAAAGGGTGCTGGATCACAACCTGGCTCAGAGATCTGCAGGATACTCACTGATTTACCCTAAAGGCAGACAAATGTTGGGATTTGGCACAGTATGAGGAAGCTGTGGTGTTCCTGCAGGATACTAAGCAGGACTATTGCTCTGCTGGCCAGGAAAGAGCCAGTAGGTGAGACTCTCAGTACCTGATGTCCTCTTTGCTTTCAGGATTGCAGAAGGAAGGAATTCTACACCAGTAAACTGCTACTGGGGGCTGAATGCATGGGCCATATAATAGCTGATGCAGGCAAAACAAATAAAAACAGAGCATCCTGTGCTGCAGTGCACAAAGGGAAATATTTGCATTGCTACTAGTGGCTACTCTAGAGGCTACAGTTCCCTTACATGCCTGAATTAATCCACTTCTGAGAAGGATCAGCGCTCCAAAGGAGGGCACTTCTGCCTGTTTCAGTTCAAAAAACTTGGTGCAAAACAAATAGATGATGCACCATCAAATCTTAAATAGAAAAATGGGTTGTGCTATCATATAAATAAATATTATTTATAGGATGACGGAGGCTCCTGCTATCCAGAGATGAGATACCAAGAAGGCACGGAGAATAAAGTTAGCGAAAGCTCCTGATATTTGGGACGGCTGAAAGGGAACTATTGGAAAAACAAGTACAGCCAGCCAGGCTTCAAACATAGGTTCAACATGCTCTTCTCCCAAAAGACAGAGATGTTTAAAAACAAAAAAGAAAGTGTAAAAGTATATTAGGAAGGTAAAAACTCATTTAAAAGTTCATCCATACATTCATAAGCTTGGAAAGTGGGGAGATAGTTTGATTGGTTTTAAAAAAATCAAAAATATCAAAAGGTGTATCAAGAGATGGTTTCCTACCTTTCGGAAACCTGATGTCTTGTTTATCCCAGAGCCGTGAATGAGCAGGGGATGGAAGAACACCGTGTCTCCCTTCTCCATGACAAGGTGAACCCTGGGACTCTTCTCATCCTCATCAAGCAGCCCATGGAAAAGTTTGTTGGCTTTACCCTAGAAAAAAAGGCTGAGTTGAAATCACTTGGTTTAATTGGAGCAAGTGCTGATTCCCAGCGTGAGGAACACAGGGACAGCTACTGATCTGCTTTCCTCTGGGCAGTGTATTTGATATGCCCAACTAAGAGCCTGTCCACTTCTCTACAACTCTTCCTACTTCAAGCCTGAGGTACAGCAAAATAATACTTCTTCTATTTTCTGAAGCTGGATTCAGACAATTAAGAACATTTTTCAGCTGGAGAGAACAAAGATGACCACCAGAGAACCCCACATTTCTGTGACACCACTGGGGTCCAGCCTTCTCCTCGCAGTATAACCATCACCAACACCAGGCCAGGTCAGGAAACATCTGTTCTTAAGAGGAAGGTACTACCCATTTCTCCTCCTCAGGAGAGTGCACATGCTCACCAGGCAGGAACAAGAACAGGAATCATAGAATCATAGAATGGTTAGGGTTGGAAGGGACCTTAAAGATCATCTAGTTCCACCCCCCCTGCCATGGGCAGGGAAACCCTCCACTACACCAGGTTGCCCAAAGCCTCATCCACCCTGGCCTTGAACATTTCCAGGGATGGGCCGCCTACAACTTCTCTGGGCAACCTGTTCCAGTGCCTCACCACCCTCAGAGTGAAAAATTTCTTTCTTATATCTAATCTAAATCTCCCCTCTTTCAGTTTAAAGCCATTGCTCCTTGTGCTATCACTACACACCCTTGTAAAAAGCCCCTCTACAGCTTTCCTGTAGGTCCCCTTTAAGTACTGGAAGGCTGCAGAAGGAGTCCTCAGACTCGGCCAGGGCAGTGGAGAATGGCTGAATACGGTAATGCTGTTATGCCACGACAAGCTGGACAATTTCTAGGTGAAGGTGGGAACAGAGGAAAATCTACCCAGGTTACATGGAGTGAGGCCAACCACAGAACTCTCTCTTGAAGCAACAAGTCAGTGTTTGCATAAACAGAAAAACCATCCCTGAAAACCTCAGCTTTGATCTGTGCATCACCCCTCCACAGTGAGCTCTCACCGGTCAAAATGTGGTCCCCAACCCCCCAGCTGTCCTACCTCCCACTTTGGATAGCCATGAGGCTTCAAGGGCTCCTTGCAAGTCCCTGGCTGCATGGCCAGGCAGCCCTTGTCCTGGTTGGGCCTCTCCCTAACAAGAGACGATGCGTTCTGGGGGCCGGAAGGGGAAATAGTGCAAGTCCTGATGCATGGGGTGCAGAAAAGTCTGTTTATCTGCAACACAGGTTCAAAATATTCAACGGCATCAAACATAACGCAGCTTTTTCCTTCCCGTTAAATCATGGTGCTTATGACACGTACTAAGAAGCTGTTGCTTGCCACTGGAGAGACTTTGAAGACTCGGTGTCTGCTCCAGCCCACCGCTGACTCAGAAGCCAAAAGGGTTATCCTACACCCCATCCCAGGATGGACCAAGAGCACAGTGTGGCTCTTGGGTCAGCAACGGCATGGGGACACAGTGAACACCAGGAGGCTGCCGGGCTGCGCAATCCCTCAGAAGATGGATTTTGCTGGTCTGCACCACCAACAACCCCCTGCCAAGTTTTCACCATCAACTCTGGCTGCTCTCCACCTTCGTGAACTTTAACCAGCACGGTGTTGCACAAGCCTTTCCCAGTACAAAGACTTTCAAACAGCCGTGCTCTCTGCAGTCACTTGATCTATCACTGTGTTGCAAGCGGAATCAACCCTGCCTGTGCTGCACCCAGCAGGTGTTTACTCAGTGTTCTTTAAAAAAAAAAATTTTAAAAAATCCCAATTTACAGGCTGCAGTCTCCCCAGACAGTCTACCCACCACGCTATTAGCCTTCAACCTAGAAGCTTTTTTCCATGAAGTCTAAACAAAAATAAGTATTTCTAAATTTGTGCTTGTTAATTCTTTTCCCATCATAGAAATGGAAACATTATGACACCAAAACAGTCTTTTATGTATTATTAATATATTTATTTTACCATTGAGTTTGCTCCTCAGATAGATACAGTTAGGATGTTTCCACTTGCACCATTTGCCTTATTATTTAGAATTTGGGCAGCCTCAAAAACTCTACTGAGATCTGCAGCTCTCCTAAAGTACTCCTCAAAGACACTGAATGGAGACCTTGCAAATATGGAGCAGTTTCCTGTTTCTTATCCATTATCGTTTTGTTTTTACTTTAAAAATGTATGGTCTCTTGTTGAATCTCCGAATCAAAATGACACAGCTTTTTGTGGAGTATTTAAGATGACAAGTGGAGATAACCTGAACAAACTCAGTATTTTAATAACTCAAAGTACTATATATCTGCTCAGAAGCTGCACACCTGAGAATAAGAAACGTAGCTCAGGTCTCAACTTCACTAAACCAAAACAGCTTATGCGAAGTCAAAGCTACTTTGAAAACTGTAACACGTTTATTCCGGTTCTCTTCCTCTCTCCCTGCCCAGCACTCCCGTATAAATTACGATCTCAATTTCCAGCAGCAGGAGCCAAAGCCAGGCTTCAAAACTCCTTCTTTTGGCACCTCTTCAAGTATCTTCGTATCAAAGCGCTGAGCATGCAACCACCGACAGTGAGGTCAGGAGCGTATAAACTCCAAGCAAAGGATGACCTCTGGATTTATTGCCTTTTACCGAGGGCCACGGAAGCATTAGTTCTCAACACATTCAAAAGTTGAGCTTAAAAAGCCGTTATGCAGCTGGCCGAACAGGGAGCTTGCTTGCTCGCTTTGAACACGTGAGCGGAGCAGCCAAGACCACCACCATCTTTAGCAAACAAACATCCACTGAACACTGAAAGACAAGAAATGTTCTCTCATTAAGCCAAGGTTAAAAGAAAGCAAATTATGACCAAAATGGCCTCATAAATTTTCAAACATAAGTTTGAAAAACTTGGGGTTTAATCTGACTCATTTTTTTTCAAACAGGTTTTCTAAAACACTAAGTTCAATTTGGGCCAGATAGACAGCATACACACATTTTCTCTGTTTTCCTCTTATCCAAGTTCTCCCTACCAGAATCTGGAAGTTTATTTATCAGCATGGTGTGCATTGCCATGATGTTTGGCCCTGTGAAGCACTCAACGTATTTGAGGACCTACAGGGAAGAAAACATTAGAAAAATATATTAGAAACATGAAAGACGAGGAAAGAATGCTGAGGAAGCACTGGGACCTAGATGTTTGGCTGAGGACCAGGGTACAGGAGGAGGAGGTCAGGATGGAAGCATGGTGGACAGGAGGCAGGATCCAGCACGGCACACATGGTGGTAGGAGGCCAGGGTAGAAGATGGTGCAGCAGGCTGCTGGGGGGATTTGAAAAGATGGGGAGGGTCATACTTCCACAAAGCTATGGCTTTCAACCACAGCATGAATATTCACTACAAAGGTGGACCTGCCCAGAGAGCAGATGCTTTGCCCGGATAAAAGACATTCAGAAAATGTTGCTGATCTGTCCTGCTAGTCCAGCATGGTTTGGGCTAGTTGCCTTCCTGACTGGCTCGCCCACCACAGGAGCGGAGGAGCACTGCTCTAAGTCTTCTGCCCTGACCACCATCCGTCCCGTGTTCATGCAGAACATTATTAAAAGATGTCTTGATATTCCTTCCTCACATATATACTTATACAAGTGGCATACAGGGACTCTAAGGCATAAAGGATATTGCTTTAGCAGACCCCAAAAAAAAAAAAGCTTCTTCACATAAGCATTAAAACATAGATACATTCGTATATGCTCTTCCACCACCATCCCCCTTTTTGCTGTTTGTTTTTTTTTTTTTCAATTTTACCTCTGGCAGAGTACAGTATCTGAACAACTCTTTGTCTTCCTGGAAGTCCTGCACTTTATTAACTACTTTTTCAGACTGACCATACCGGGATCTCAGGGACTCGTCTTTCATAATCATAGCTCCCAGTGGATTCACCTCTTTTTTACAGATCCTCACAAACTCCTTCCTGCAAAGCAGAGGGAACATCTATGTTGTGACAGTCCAGCTTCCTCCAGCTTCCCAGAGCTCCCTCGGGATGCTGCTGCACACAGGACCCCCCTGCACCTTAAGCAAGTGCCCCGTACCTGAAGCGCTCAATGTCTTCGTCAGAAACGAGCTTCTTAATGAGCAGATACCCATTGTCTTCATAGAACTGCCTTTGCTCTGTGGTGAGGACATCGTTGTCCAGGGTATAGCTGAGACACAGAGGAGAAACATGTTAGTAAGGCTGAGCAAAGCCATGGGACCACCGATGGCGAGACCTGGCAGGAGGACAGTGCCATACAGGCGATCAGCAGCTGCTGGAAAGAATTGATGAGAAATTCTCCCCACTTGCATGTTGACCTCGGCTCTGCAGGTGTGCAGCATTTCCCACGCCCCCACAGACCCAGCATGGTGTGTTCCTGGCTGTGCAGCATCTCTGCCCACAGCCACCCACTGCTTCTGCAGCAGAATTCAAAGCATCCCCCTTGTGCCCTCCCAAGGCGGAGAAGCAAGCAGGAAAGCTGGGATCGGTCCTCAGCAGCTTTACTCTCAACAGAGATACTGAAGACACGAGAATAGTCTCTGCAGTCAGATTATCCACTCAGGCATTTTCAAGATGCGTGGTTCAGCTTTTTTATTAAACTGCAGTTAGACCCAGGAGAATATACCCTTGCAAAACGAAACGCTACACAACGTCTGGTGATCAACAGGTGTGCTAGGGTGGAAAAAAGAATGGAGTTCTGCAGGTTACTGTTTTTAATCTCTACAAAGAAAGATACAACTTACCGAAACCTCCCTGGCTGAGGATCAGTACTAATTTGGGCTGAAGTAGGAATGCCTGTCTGGGGTGGAAATTAAGGAATATACACTTAAGCACAAAAGAGCATCTATACACATGCAACCTGAATCCTATAATGTGGTTCATCTTAAAGATAAGCGCTGTGCTGGACATTCAATTCATATCCTTGTTTATTTTGCTTCTAAAAAAATCTTTCCTGCCTTTGGAGTAGCAAGTCTGGCAGAGAACTACAAAACAACAGCATAGTACAGCCTTGTCCATGGCTGTAGAAAGTCAGTACAAAATGCCTGAGACTCCAGAGTAGTCCATGGGCCTTGATTCATCTCCCAGAACATCAAGACACTCACTGAGATGATCAGTGGAGATGTTTTATTTGCCCAGTTTCCCTCCCTATGCTCCAGAGAGCAGCCAGACCTACCCAAAACCTGCATTGCCTCCTGAGGTGCTTCTCCGTCTCTCCCCTCCTAACATCTGTGCACCAAATTTGGAGCCAGAAGTCTTATGGGGTGAACGTGGGACTTCACATTCCCACGCGGTGGTGCAAACCCTCACCTTCTCTCCAGTTACTGCAGAGATTAGGTCACTCCAAAACTTGACGGGTGCGATCACAAAGAGAGGAAAGCTATGGGCTTGTCCTCCACCTCAATTGATTTCAACAGGTATAAATAAACACAGTTGTGTTCTATGCAGAGATAGGTGTCCTCATCCACAGAGCAACTAAACCCCACTTGCTAATGAAGCCTTGCAAGAGCTTTGTGTATGGTATTGAAGCCTTGCCCAGGGACAAAGAACATTTTCATGCAGATCTCTGGCTCCGCACATGCATGTTTGGAGACCTCTGTGCTTCAGGGTTTTATGTAAACCAAAGACTTTCCTCTACTGCTCGCCACTACTTTTTCAATGTGCCATAGATGCGTGCATGCTTCATGGAATAAGAAATAGGTTTCATCACAACAGTTGTGTTATGGTCCCTACACCAGGAAGCTTAAACATTAGCAGGTCAAGAGCTGCGTACGGTGGGAGAAGAAACACAATACGTGCAAAAATGTGTAGCAAAAATGATGAGTTAGAGGGAGGAAAAGGTGCTAAGAACTGGATGGAAGACAGAGGGAAGGAAGAGGACATGGGGAAGACCAAGTGGAAGCCACTACAGTGGGTCCCAGAGCAAGGGATTGCCCAACTGAGGGCACTGCTGCTCCACACATCACATTTCAGGTCCAGTTTCAGTGAAAATGGGACTCCTAGCCATTCAGGCTCCCAAACATCTGCAGACAGCTGATGGAGACATAGGCACTAGCTGAACCTCAGCTGATGTGCCCTCCTCAGCACACCTCCACCTCCCAGAAGGGGGGTCAGCAGACAAGTCCCCCAAGAGCTGGACCTCATTCAAACACCTTCCTCCTGGCCTTCACAGCACCTCTTCCTCTCACTGGTTTTGCTTTTGCCACCTTACAATGCTCAAATGACAAGTAGGAGTTGCTTGGACACCTGAAAACAAGAGGTACACAGGCTGATAAGGAGATGCCACCTCCAGCAGCTCATTTTGGTGAAGACATGGGGTATTTAAACCCTTCCCTTCCCCTCACACACATCCTTTTGGGAATAATGTATCCACAGTCACATTATCCAGCTGAGCAGGCAATACAATACTTTTGGAGGGACTGAAGCACAGGCACAGCAAGGTTCAAGATCCCCAGAAGCTCTTTCAAACCATCTCCCTGCAGAGTCTGGAGGGATGGTGCCAACTCCTGCATGTCTAAGACAAGCATGGTAAACTTGTGTAGTTCTCCTAGAAACAATCTCACAGACAGCTGGTGCTCGGTAGCTCCTGGCCTGACAGCCCCCGCTCTGCCAGCAGCATCAGGGTTTGACCTGAAGAAGCCAAACACCCAAATCACTCAAGAGGTGCAGTCGCTTTCTGAATCGCCCCAATTTGCCTGCATTTTAAGGAAAGCTTCACTTCTACACTTGGTGTGCTGGGTTTTTTTTCAGTGTCCCAAATCAGGCAGCATCCAAGCTGAATTCGCAGCTGTAGGAATGGAGGTCTCCCGCAGGCACTTGTGAAAGTGACTTTTTCTCAGCGGCCTTTCTGCAAGGAAACAAATGCTGCTGTTACCGACACAGCACTTCCCTCTGGCTCCTATGCCAAGCTCACAAGAAAAATCTACCACATTTCACCTTCCACTGCTTTGTCTCCTTCCTGAGGCCACATGCGAGGGCTTGGCAAAGGCAGAATTTTTCCACTGTGGTGTAGAAATAACTCATCTTCCAATAAACCAGTACAACCAACATCATACACCAATCTCTAATATACTGATCCCTAAAAGCAACTCCAGGAGGAAACTGGGTATGTACAAGCTGGTGTTAAGCTCTCTATTACGCAGGTTTAATTTTAAATGATCAGAGAGGATCAGGATGCTCTCTTTTCCAGGTGGGGAAGGTCGGAGCCTGAGGTGAGCCGGGAGAAGGCAGCTAACCCATGCTGCAGGGCTCGCTGGGCAGAGAAGCGGATGCGCAATCTGCACCCTAGCAAGGCAGTGCAGAGACCCTGCGGGCTTGAGCCAGTTCCACACATTTTATGTCTCTATCAAGTCAGACATTTCTATTAAGACATTTCTCCCTTCATAAAAGGAGAGGCATTTTCTGGAAGGAAAATTGACTGTCCTACCCAGTTCACCAAGCCAGAGATGACAACAAAACCACTGCACTAAGGTAACGTATATCAAATAAATTTATTCTTACAAGATTCTGTCATTTATTCTATCCAGACAGCTTTCTTGTTCCAGCTCAATTTCGTCATATATTTCTCCAAAGCTCTTTGCATCAGGACCATCGTAGCTGGATTTAAAAAAAAAACAGCTGTGCAGTGCCTCTCCTTACTTACTTGCTCTCTCTTTACAACCAGGGTGCTTTTCCTAGCATTTATTTCCAATTTTGTGTTCCTACTTGTGCCTTTGTCTTATGGCAGTCTGAGTCAACTACTATCCATCTATCTTCATATTTTTAATACATTCGAAGACTCCTACAAGCTGTTTGATCACATCCTCTTCACCAATTTACTATAATTCAGAGATAACTTGTCAGCATTCAGCTCTCACTGAGAATCAGCAGCATTTTTTAAAATATTTTTTTTCTAAGCAAGATTTATGGCAGCAGCTTTAAAAACACTACAAACAAGCAGTCTCCGTTTAACTTTTGGAAACACAGGACAGCCCAACGTGAAAACTTCTGTCTGCCCTGATTTCCATTCTCTGATCTGTTGTAAAGCTGGCAGCCTCCAACATTTCCACCTCATTTCCCACTCACAAACCAAACCTTCATGTTTTTCCTGCTGCTGGTCTACCAGTCAAGTCTGGACGTCTCAACAAAGTCTGAGACTCACTGTGCAACTGCTAAGCCTCGCAGAGCTTATCTCCCCCAAACCCACAAATCTCTAGGAAGAAAATTCACTGCAGGTAACCCCCCCCACTCAGTGTCGGGGTCGATGTGCCGGGGGGCTGCCAAGAGGCAGCTGGCCCATCAGATGCACATCCCCACGTCTGACAGGTTGCAGGGCTGAATCTCCTGGAAAAAGCACCAGGCAGCAAGAGGTTTTCAGGGTGGGACAGGTGCTGACCCCAAAAACGCCAGTCACAGGGGTTTTGTGCATCCCTGCTCGCCGAGCGGCTGCATGGGGCATGTTCCCCCTGCACATTGCCACCCCATAACCAGGCCACAGGACTGCCACATTGCCCACATGTCCTTCCCGGACCCAGTGTCTCTGTAGGGGAAACCACCAGGAGCCCCTCCTCGGCGCCCGGGCACACGCTGGGCATGGGGAGCGATGCGCAAAGCTCGCGGGGGCGGGGGAAGCCGAGCCCCGACCCCAACGGGGCCAACATCTCGCTCCCCCCACCTTGATCCCACATCAGAAAGGATACAGGAGCAGCGGCTGCTCCTGGCCGTGGGGAGA